TTTTGTCGATTTCGGGTGTGCGTTGGCTGCCAAGGTCGACGAATTCGTCGACGTTCGATGCACTGCCAAGTTGCACGAGCTGTGTGGGGTACGTGCACACGCCGAAAGCACGTCGAAGAGCGAAAAGCACTGCCTCACGGGGACAAAAGCGACAAAAATCACTCTCTTCCGTGCCAGAAGTTTTGTCCGTCAACTAATTTTGTCGATTTCGGGTGTGCGTTGGCTGCCAAGGTCGACGAATTCGTCCACGTTCGATGCACTGCCAAGTTGCACGAGCTGTGTGGGGTACGTGCACACGCGGAAAGCACGTCGAAGAGCGAAAAGCACTGCCTCACGGGGACAAAAGCGACAAAATCACTCTCTTCCGTGCCAGTAGTTTTGTCGACTTCGGGTGTGCGTTGGCTGCCAAGGTCGACGAATTCGTCGACGTTCGATGCACTGCCAAGTTGCACGAGCTGTGTGGGGTACGTGCACACGCCGAAAGCACGTCGAAGAGCGAAAAGCACTGCCTCACGGGGACAAAAGCGACAAATTACTCTCTTCCGTGCCAGAAGTTTTTCGACATCGGGTGTTGCTGCCACTTCCGATTGTTGCGGTGAGACCTTTCACATTAGATAATTCGCATTGGGTTAAGCAGCGTGATTGTGAAAAAATTTTTTTTATAAGGAATCACAACCTGGCGTCGATTTGTTGGTGGTTTGGTCAAATAATGGGCCAAACGAACTCAATGGAATAACTGATTTTGGGGCCAATCACGGACTGTAAATAGTCTGTTAATAGTATGAAGCAATGGCATTAGGCAAAGTACCGACTGCAAATTTGAACACTTTTTCAAGGTTTTTTCTTAAGGCGGGTCTGGATCGCACCTCAGCCTCTTCTATATTTTTTTGGCGATATTTGGCAATATATTGAATTCTCCAAATGTTGGAACCAGTCAGAGAATTTTTCACTTTTTGCGGATTTTTTAGAAATTGAAAAAATATGGAAGATTTTGGCTGGTCTGGATGCCACGATACTCTGTCAGAAAACGGCCAGTTTGCCAGCAAAAAACCTGAATGTAAAAAATAACGAATTCTTAAAAGGACGTGTGTCTGGACGATTCAGAAATCATGAGAAGTCCTCCAGAGTTTTCAGGTGATTTGCCTCCATTATGCCATAAATGAAATACGCCGATTATATATATATATATTTTCCTGACACCTTCCCTGGCTCAACATTTGTGATATTCTTCAAAATTTCAGGAAAATTTCGAGGTATCCAGATTTCACGACGAACTTCTCGTGCCAGTTTTTATACTAGTACATGACTTTTGGGAACTGTCAGGTCTGCAAAAATTTCCCGAAGTCTCATATCCCATGAAAAAAGGAGAAAAGAAGTATCTACAAAGTTGTATGGATGCCGATTGTTTTAAAGTATCGAAGCATCCAGACGCACAAAATCCCGAAAAATGGAATATTTCGATTTTGGCAACTTTTTTGGCCATTTTATGCCATTTTTCATGGCATCCAAACCACTGTGTAAACTTTTTCAAGTTTACAGTTAATCGTGATCCCGGATATTTTTGGAGTATCCGGAGATAATTCTTTTTTGTCGAATTTTGAAGTTTTGATTGGCTTCTACCTACCATCATTCTGGTTTGTCACGATGGGTCGAACTACGAAGGTCGCCGCCAGCACTCCCAAGCCAAAGGCGGCCAAGCGATCGGCGCCATCCGACGAGGTCCAACCTGGCAACAAACCCGGCAATGAGGGTGAATCCACGTTCGCAGAGAACCCTTCGACCGGCGGCTGGGCCTTCTTGAAGCCGCCGTCCTCGTCGCAGCTCAAGAAGCCAAAGAAAGCTTCGCAGCGTTCAGACGACGACGTCGAGTTTCCACCTCTATCCGAGGCCGATACGGCTGTGTTTGACGACATCCTCCCACTGACCAAAGCTGGCAACACCAATGACTCCCTTCGCATTCTCGCGTGGTACGAGCCACCTCTCATCGATGTACCGGCCATAGTCTTCACTTCCTGACAGGAACGTGAACGGCCTGCGAGCCGTGTTAAAGAAGGACAACTACTTCCGCGCATACATTGCCCGCGAAAACCCGGACGTGTTGTGCTTGAGCGAGACCAAAATCGACGACGCGGCGCTGGGCCAGGTCGTCCCCATCATCATCCGCTTCTTTCGGAAACCCACCATCTGGTTTATCTGGTTCACAGGTCAAGCAAATCCTTCCCCAATATCCGCACCAGTACTGGAACTGCGCCGACCAAAAGGGTAGTTCTTTGTTGATAGAAACACATGTCATTATGATTGGACAACTATTCGTAGGCTACGCCGGCACGGCGGTGTTCAGCAAGGTTGAACCGTTGAGTGTCCGCACCAGTTTGGTCGTGGCCGGCCAACCAGACAACGAGGGACGCTTTGTCGCGCTCGAGTTTTCTTCGTTCTGGCTCGTGCATACGTACGTACCCAACGCAGGGCAAAAGCTCGAACGGTTCGTGTTCATATGTATAATTAGTCACTATAGCGCTATGATATATAAATATATATATATATATATATTTGTAGCTTGGCGTATCGCACTGAGAGCTGGGACAAGGCCTTGTTTGCCGAATTGAAAGCACTGGACCAGTCCAAGCCAGTCGTGTGGTGTGGCGACCTAAACGTTGCGCACCAAGAGATTGACATTCACGACCCCAAGGGCAACGTACGCTATCTATCTATTATACGTTTGATCTACAATATATTCTATAATATATATATACAATATATTCTATAATATATATATACAATATATTCTATAATATATATATACAATATATTCTATGATATATATATATATATAATATATTCTATAATATATATATATATCTACAATATATTCTATAATATTTGGATGTAGAAAAATAAAACGGCGGGGTTCACCGATGCCGAGCGCGAGAGTTTCGGGGGCTTCTTGGCCAGTGGTTTCGTCGATACATTTCGACACTTGAACGAACTCGCACAAGCGTATACTTACTTTTCGTATCGGTTTGGCGCTCGTGGCAAAAACAAGGGTAGGGACATATATATATGTAATTTAATCATATTTCACAACTTACGTGTTAGGCTGGCGGTTGGATTATTTCGTCGTGTCGTCCACGTTGTTGGACAAAGTGGTACGATATCCACTTTGACGTGATATATACATATTCGCACAGTGATTATATATACATATTTAGACAAGTATATATAGTTTAGTTATACAAGCATAAACGATCGGTTACAGCGTTCTTATAACTCTAGTGTAGGAAGACTCGTTCATTCGGCCGTCGATTACGGGCAGCGACCACTTGCCCATTGGATTGACTTTGAAGAAATAAAGATCGTGTTCTGTTTTAGTATCAGTTGAACAGCTCGAGTTTATGAGGAACCCAACCATCAAGATTGGGATCAAAATATACTTCGAGAAGTCTCAAAAATACACTTGGTTTCAATCTACTGCCCCATCATCAACCCTTGAACACCCCCCAACACTTCATGACGATTGGACAAATTTCCAGGCCCTGTCGAATCAAATCTCGCCGTCGAATCGAATCACGAATCGACGCTATTGGCTAATCCATTTTTGAGTGGATTTGATTGGCTCTTACAGAAAGGACAAGTCGATTCAACCAATCAGAACTCCAACTTGATTCAATACTGATTGGACAACCACGCGAATTTTGGAAGTTTATAGCGAATTCACAATAACTATTGTCGATTTTCTTCAAATTCCCAATTTTGCATGGTTCTTTCAATCGAGCACAACTAGAGCCGACGAGACATCTGATTAGCCAATATCCACTTCGCTCTTTCCAGTAGAAACTCGAAAATGGATTGTAGCCAATCAGCGACAAGTAGTTTCGGATTGACCAATGGGAGAGATTGGTGCTCGATTCGCTCGGGGATTCGATTGAACGGGGTCCGGAAATTCATACCGTAACTTCCTTATTTGTTGTCCCATTGCCCCATGTTATTATTTTTGAGCAATTTGTTTAAACATTCCACCTGCCCACGTTTTCTACGATGATTTGGCAAATTTCAGAAGTTTCTTATAAAAATCTCTTTTGACAGAAAGTGTGAACTGTCTGGGAACCATTTTATAAATACTACCTCTGTCCGAAAATGTTTGCACGTTTCGGAGAAAGTGAAGTTCGGAAAAGATTGCACGATTCGTACTAACGTTACTCTTGTTTGAATGGGAGCACATATAAAAAAGTCACTCAGCTCAATAGAAAAATACATATATTATTTAAACTCTCCCATGTCCAGTGCCGCAGATATTTCTGCAGCTAATTCCTCGACTTTCTCTTCCATGTCGGTAGTCGCTGCTTGTGGAAGATTGCCCGACGTTGTATTGCCTGACCGCGACGTAGTCGATGCTGGTACAGTGCTGGGCGGAAAAGTTCGCAGCTTCAACGATTTAGATATATAGAAAATTGTATGCACAGTAGTATACCAGTGAATGCAATTATAATAAAACTCGTTTCAACAAACGAAAGGGAAATTTCAGTGAACACATCCAATTGGATAAAACCCGTCGGAACTTCAACGAATGATGCCTGACTGTAACGTTACGCACATCATGTCGCAATTTTGAGCAAACGTTACCTGAATCAAATTTCGACATCATTTTCGAACTCAGGAGGGGGGTTTACCCTCCTACCGACCTTAAAACGCCAAGCGAAGCCCATCATATTCGTATTACATGAAACTATATTTCAATTACTGTTGGAATTGATTTTTCAAATGCACTCTCTACAGTTCGACTTGAAATTCTGTGGAAGACACGGACAAACTTTTCTTCGTCTCGGCGCTCGTCGATGTAGGCAAGGAGGGCATCCTTAAACGGAATGATGGTTTTGCGTCCCTGACCTCCCAGAGAGCCCTTGGAACCATGCCGTTTGCTGCAAAGGATAGCATGCTCATTGTTGCGCCAACCACGCCATGTGGAGCGTGCGATTTGCATGTCGACGTAGAACTTAGCTTCGTCCTGTAGTGGTAAGGCATGAAAGTGGGCTAAGAGGCACTTGCGGTCGCGTTTGTGTACCGGCGATACTGCTTCTTTGGTTTGACCGAAGTCATTTTGGACTTTGAGATGAAGTGATGTCGATGCAAATTTGAAATCCAAATTCAAATTAACCAATCACAGCGAGCTTAAAGTATGCCATGTGTTTTATCGACATGGATAAATTACTTTGTTTTTATCCAATCATATTGCCAGCACTACTTCGGGACAAAATGAAATTTTTTATTATTGCTATGTGCAACAGTCCGCGAACTTTTCCACCCACCACTGTATTACCTTGTGCATGTGGTTTCATCCGTAAAAATTCGTAACCGGATGTCCGGATACGCTGAAATGACAAGTGTCGTCGATGTTGTATGAAATAAAGTATTGGATTTGTTTCCGTCATGGCTCTTTCATTGGTTGGAATTTTGGTGCGAATACTTTTGATTGGTGACGCCCTGAATCTCCTCTTTTCCCCAGTACCTTCTGTTCACCAAGAATCGAAGAACTTCATGGTCATTTGTCGAAATCTTTGATTTGTGCAAACATTTTCGGACAGAGGTAGTACGTTTTTCTGACATACATGTGAATATATGAAAGATAATACATAACGTTACATTACGTTTCCAGGGTGTGCATCATGTATATTTTGTACAAGACTTCGGCATTCGCACACTTTGTTCGTATCCGTCGTCGTTTCCGATCTCGAGTCTACCAGGTGGACGCCCCATTTAGGAGCGTTCTTGGTCTTGGCATACTTTGTACCTATGCGACGTACAAGCAGGCGCTTATACACCACCACTTACCTAATTTTATTTTTTATAATGTATATTAGAAACTATACTAAAAGCAGGGGAAAAATGTAAAGAATAATAATATATGGTCAATAAAAATTTAAAATCAAAAACTACAAACATAATTTTTATTAACTGAATTTTTTTATTTAAATCAAAGCAAAATGCTGTTGTGTATTCTGGTGCCAGTAGCTGAAGACGTGTGAATGGGGCCACACATCAGAAAAAACTGTTTTCTACTTAGCAGCACTTGTCATGCTTCAAAGCGCTCGAGTTTTTTTATCCATTTTCTAGAATCTGAAATGAGGGGCCAGAGGCACCCGAATTGATTTGAGGATACATTGTGATTTACTAGTAACGTTATACAATTATATTAACGACAATGCAGTAGTACTGTACTAGTCCTTCTTATAGTACGTACTACTGCGACGCGTCTGGTTGGACGAGAATGGGCTTACGCGAGACGATGGATCCGTTGGACCGGCGACTGGGTTTTCGGCGGCCGCTTTTGCCAAAGAGCATCGGGTACCGCTTGGGCAAGTCGTTGAGCGTGTCCCGAGTAAACGTTTCAGTCACGATCTTGACTTGGGCTCTAATACACCACAATACAGAAGAAAGGCCCATCAAACAATGTACACACCATACATAAACACACATAATTTGCGTACATCAAGATGGCCTTGGACGCTTGCAGCTTGGCCACGTTCTTGCAGCTGTCCGCCTTGGTGATCTTGGCCGGCTTGAGCGTCGGCGACGACAGCTGCCGCTCCGAGTTGGTCAGGGCGTACTCGAGCGGCGGCAGGTAGTTGACGAACTTGTCGAGGCCCTTGAGGTGGCAGTCGAAGATGTCGGTCCTGGCTTGGATGTCGTCGCCGTGGATGACTTTGGCTTTGATTCGCTCCTTGATGGAGGCAGGAAATCCGTCCAGCTTGACCACTTGCTGCGTGCGCACAAGAATGCGGAACCGGTAGAATGGGATGCGCGTGATCTAGTATCGTACTAGTAAGCCATGCCTAGTAGTACTAGTCATCGTCGACGTACGGGGCACTGGGCCAGGTTCAAACTGCTCAAGTCTCGCAATTTGGTGAGCGCGTCGACGTGGTGCAGGTCCTTGATCCGATTGAACGACACGTCCAGCTTTTGTAGCATGCGGCATTTCTAGCAAGGTATATTATATGAGTCTCGGAAATATAGTTGATATACTAGTATATTATATATATATATATATATATATATATATATACATGAATTACCCCAAAGTCCTCCAAGCTGCGCAGTTTGTTGTGCGCGACGTTAACAATAAGCAATCGCGTTAACTTGGGCAGTTGCGACGACTCGACCAGTTCATTATGCGATAGATTCAAGATCTCAATTGGCATGTTTTCCGTCAACCCGCGGGTGGTCTTGAGCTTGTTGTGGGAAATGCTAAAGTACTAGAATATACATATATATTAATTCGAATCATGTTTAAATATATATACTATATATACCTTGAGAAACACGAGCTCAGAGATGCCAGTGATCTCGGTGATGTGGTTGTGGTCGAGAATGAGCTCCTGAATGTACCGATGGGTCTTGAGGTCCCGCATAACGGAGATGCTGTTGCGCGCAAAGTTGGCAATATGCAGCATCGGTCCGATAGCTTCCTGTCCGTCGACCCATGCGTTCTTGGCTGTGCATTGCGGTGGATCAAAATCTAGAGAACACCATCATGAAGGTGTGTCGAGGGAGTATGTGGTTAACCTAGCAGCGTGGTCAGGTGGTTGTTTTCGGCGTTGAGCGAGATCAAGAAAGGTAAGTGCGCGAGTGCCGCCAACGACTCGATCTGGTTGTTGGCGACGTCGACGTCCTACGACCGCCACAATGAGCACGTGTCACTTCCAAGATGAATTACTCGGACGAACGAGGTTCAAGCAATGTACCTGAAGGTAGGGGAAGTCCTTCAACACGTCGACCGCCGTGAGGTTGTGCTTCTGCCACGTTTCGTGTGAGTCGTCCGTCCATTTGATGAAGAGGATAGACACGTACTCACCTTGACGTCCAGTCTGGTGAAGATGTGCTTGTTCGTGATGGGATGCTTGCCGAGAAGACTCAGGTTCTCACGCACGACACTGCGCTCGAGCTGTGTCATGGTTCCTGCCTGGAAGTGCCTTTTGAACCGAAACGAAACCGACAAAGCTCATGTGAATTAATTATACTAGTACAGGTTATTTAATTACAGAGGTTATTATTAAACAGGTCAAACTCACAATTCCAACACAACATGGAAGACGGGCAACTCCACGAGTTTCTCGACGCAGTGGGCCAGCGCTACACGCCCGCCATTCCCGATGAGGTGATCGCGTACTACCTCGAGAGCGTCGGCTTCACAACAGACGACCCCCGCATGTACGTGTGTCACTAAGATGAGGCTCGTCCTCATGATGATGATGGTCCTAGCATCCGCATGGTTGCGCTTGTCGCGCAGAAGTTCGTGCTGGATGTGGCGCACGACGCCAAGCTGTTCCACCAGCACCGCTTGAACGGCCACACCGGTTCAGTCCACTCAGATGTACGTGCTACAGGTTTGGAGACATCGATGGCTCATGCGACATCCATAGAAAGTGTCGTTAACGATGGAGGATCTGGCGGCAAGTTTGCGGGAATACGGCGTGAACCTGTCCAAACCAGAGTACTTTTGCGACAGCGCCAGCACGCTTCAAAGCGTAGGGTCAGCACCCAATGCGACGGCAGGAAAACCACCGACTAAGAAGTAACTTCGACCCGATTTTTTGTCCTTCTGAAACCATATCAATTCGGCATGCGGCATGGTTAGTTTTGCATGACTTTGTAACTTGCCAAGTTCAAACCTGCACAGCGTCGCGTAGAACAAGCTGTCAAAAGATCTTGTACCGTTATATATAGCACAACACTATATACTGCGCTATTACAATTCAATGTGCGCTTCGACGTCGTTGTGCTCGTCCGCCTTTGCCTTCTCTTGTTTGTGCTTCTTGAGCGACTCAAACACCTTGTCCGTGTCGCTCACGCGGGCCTTCTTCAAAGTCAATGCTTCGGGGTACTTGGCCAACAGCCGCAAAAACATGACCGGTTCCTTGCCTACAAATCACATTATTACTGGAGTTACATATATATCCCCACTGGCGGTGTACAGTCATTCAATATCGGTGCTGGTGGTGGATGCATGCACCTACCCTTGTACTTGGCCAGCAGCGCGTCGACGTCCTCCGCTTCTGCGCCGTCTCGCGCATGAGTTGCTAGAAAGTGCTCAAGTCGGTTGCGGTTCCTCGTGGCAGCCTTGGACTCGTCCACGCACTCGCACGCTTCCTTCTGTCCCGCAGTGAAGGCGGGGCAGCCCATCATGTTGGGCCCCATCGCGTACAACTCGGCCGTTGTGCCGCACGACTTTTGCAGTTCTGTGGTGGGTTCCAACGCACACTTGTCCTTCATGCACTTGGAAAACTTCTTTTCGCACAAGGTCTTCGAGATGCCGCAAATGCCATAGCACTACAGATCAACTTCAATTGAGGGCTGAGTGATGGGTTGATGGAGGTACCGCGTCGTGCCAGTTGCAACAGTCGGTAAAGTCCAAGTTCTCGTCACCCATGAGCTGGAACCCGATGCTGTCGGTGCCACACCCGTTGGCCCACACCTTATACTTCCTACAACCCCGTTCAGCTCATTCAGACCCTTCCACGGTGTGACTTACTTCTTAGGCGATAGCACAGTCTTAACACCCCGCTTCGGCTTGCAAATGGTAGACTTGGGCTCGCACACTTGGTCGTGACTGAACATGGACGACACCACCGTCGCAAGGACCAGCCATGCCAGCACTGTGTGGCCAATCTTCGTGCTCATCATGTTTCGAATGGAACAGTGGCTGTATCCGGATAATCGAACAATTCGTAAAATATGCATTTTTGAAGCATAGTAGCCGTTACAGTGTGACAGTTTCACGACGGCACTTTCGCCCAGTTCATGTAGACGGTGCGTGTATACTACTAGTATGACGATGAGGCTACGTACGTGTAACTTGGGTTGGCTGCTGTGAGCGTAGGTTCAGTCCTGTCAGAGGACTGCTCTTCGTACATCGTCTCGTCGAACCTCAAGTTGCTGGAGATCATGCTTGGCCGCAGTGATTCACAAAGTAATACCTTTGCTGCTTTGTATCCTCGAATCAATGTATCCATCGTGATAGTTGTCATAGCACGAACACGTGACAATGCGGTGGTCCAAAAGTCGTCCATGGATGCCATGATCGACAACGCATCCAGCCACTTGCAAGCACAGTCAACCGGCATCAACCCTGCCCACCCAACTAAAGCGCAACCAACATCACCACCATTGGTATTTGTTCCTGTCGTTTGATTGCTCTAGTGTAATCATCCTTGCGATGTTGACCTAATAGCCAAACAACATCCACGAAGAAGTACCAGAGCACATGGAGAACTTCCCCCTCGTGCCGCTGGAAGTGATCCCGAAGCTCACCACATTGCGACTGCAAGAATGCCGAGCCGAGTTGTTCAAGCTTGCAGACACTCTGACTGGTGACGCCGACGACGTGGCCCTCGGACTAGTAAGTGCACATCGCTAGGTAGTTACAGGTACTCATTTTTGATGTGACTAGTATATCAAGAAGCAGCTAGCTAGTGTCGCCGCGGAGCTCGAAGACCGACGGGCCAAGCAGCGTATCGCCGACTTAATCGCTGGAAATGTAGTGGCACCACCCGTTGGAATCATCTACACACCCATATCCCCTGCTAATATAAGTACACGATTGATAGCTTCAAGGAGAAATACATGACAATACATGTAGATCGCCTCCCTCCACCAGTTCTGAACATGCAGATGTCGACACAATCAGCCGCAAATGCTACCGTCGCCACCTCGAAACCATCTATTTCAACACCTTCCTTTGAAACGCCACCTCCAAAGCTCCAGCCAAAGCCATTGTCCCTTCGAGAAATGAAATCGTTGGCCAAAACCACCAAAATGACACCCGACGAAAGCGCCAAGTTTATCATCCAAGGCACGACCTCGGCCCGGAAAAAGAAACGACTCGCCCATAAAGTAAAGAAACGAAAACAGCAGCAGACGCTACCCACTCCCGAAGACTTGCTCCAAGCTCAACGACACGAGCGACGGAAGCTCGCCCACGACCGCCTCGTCGCCCGCCAAGCCAAGATCACCCTCAAGAAGCAAAAGGTTGGTATATTTGCTCTACTTTGTATTCGGAAGGGGGTTACACTATGGGGTGAATACATTAGGACTTGCAAGCCAAAGCTGCTGCTGCTGCCGCCGTCGCCGCGGCAATGGAAGGTCGTCACAAAGACGACGACTCGAGTGAATCAGATAATGACGTTGTGGACGTGGCCCCTACTAGCTCGGACGAGGATATCGCGGAGGTCGAACCAGAAACACGAGACGACCAACCGCCACCACCTCTGGTTGTTACCTTCAATGACGTGGCATCCTCCACAGGATTGGTCGCAAGTACATTCGAAGTCGACGACCGCATCAGTCGTATCAACGCCCACCTGTGCAACGTGCAAGCTGAAGACAACTTGCGCGTGTTGAAAAGCAGCCGTCAGCAGAGTCGTAATCGGGAAGGACAAAGCTCTACAGGGACACTGGTAGATAAACCAAACCAAGAGGAGGAAGCGGGTCCAGAAGATCACGTGGCCACACGAGTGGACTCGCAAAGGAGGGAAAATGACATGACGTGGCATCATCCCAGTCGTGCAGGGGACCTCCAGAATCAAGAGACGTTATCCAGCCAAGGGCCTGTCGAGGCCAGCTCTGTTGCTCTCTCCAATGACCATAATCACTCATTGACGGAAGAAGAAATGGCCTCCACCCGTTCCACACGACCTGACGAACGCGATGACAACAACGACGAGGACAACGATGACGACTGCTCCGATGGTGACGAGAATGGTGACGAAGGTGATGACGAAGAGGTGGATGGTCCAGATGACCCCAATTTGTACAACAAGTCGAAGTTTCACACTAACACGTACATGGCCGTCCAAGGTACACAGATACACCTGCTAGTTCGTCCGATACAAAGAACCTACGGTTGCATGTAGACCACGACCAGCCGACGACCGCCGCTCCAACTGCATCAGCAGCAACATCTCCCTCCTCCTTGTCCTCTCTGCCGGAATGGTTCCAAGACCAGCGCAAGTTGATTCACCACATCGTCACACAAGTCGCCCCACCACCACCATTATTACATGACAAAATGGACACAGGCCGACCAGTACCCTCCTCACCTACAGACAGCTCAACTACTCTAACCCACCAAGCGACGAATCACTCACGTTTGACTGCCCACACTACGGGGACGAATGGAGCCGGCGCCGCAAGAAGGATCCTGTCCAACTTGATGCGAGATACATCACGCATCAAGGCGTGTCAAGTCAGTGTCGAAAGCGCCCTAGAGTGTCTTACACAACCAGTTGCTCACATCGAGCCAGCAGCAGCAACGACGGCAGAAACATGTACAAACATGGCGGCTAGTAAAAAGAACCCGCGGCCTCGCTCGTGCACACAAGGGCTTATCTCTCAGAACAAGACAATCGAGTCCGAAGTGACGAAGCCACCTCAGCGCCAGCCTTCACGGACTCCCGCGTCATCTCCCCCAACGAAGATGCTGCTTCCGCTGGTCGCACCAGTGCCAGCTAGACCCGTCACGGACTACTCGAGTGTGTTTCGCAACTTTTACTGCATCATGACGTCGTTTTACGAACGCATGAAAACCGACCTGACGACAACGTCAACGTCCAAACACATCATTCAAAACCGCGACGTGGCGATTCGGTTCCAATGCAAGCTCTACACTGTGTGGAAGAATGTCATGCACGACTACACGACCGTGTTTGGCGGCGCCCAAGGTATACATCGTAATATATATATTTATTTATCACGACTGATATGTTTGATAGGTCAACAACTGACAGCAAGAAGCCGGGCGCTGGACTCGGCGTGCGTCTATGATGGCTCGACCAGCACACCGTTCACAGCCCAATATCGCATCAATTCCCAAGCACGACAAGAAGTGGTTGGCATTGTCGTCGAAGCGTTGAAAAAGGTACATAAATAAATATATATTTGTTGTTGACTGTGGTGTAGCTGCCGGATTGGGATGAGCTTCCCGTCGACTTGGGGTTGAATACGACATGGAATCTGCTATGGACGTGGAGCAAGCCCCGCGTGGATGTACGTTGTCGTTCTCTGTGTGTTTGAAATGCGTTTGAAATCCTTAAAAACCAATATCAAATCGTTTGAAGCGTATTTGAAATCATTTAAAAATCATCCACGTAGCGGCAATCGTTGCTGTGTTGGCAAAAGGTCAACCACTTTGCTGGCGCAAAAGCCCTTACAAGGAAGGACATGCTCAAGAAGAGTCTACAACGTTATGCGGTACCCCCCACTCTATAGAATTGTGTATTATTCGACACTAGCAAGTTCGTTTATTGTTATGTATTAGGCGATGGGGGACAAGATGAAGGCTAGCTTTGACATTGCGCCCGAGACGTTTATCTTGCCGAATGAGTACATTCCGTTCGTCCAAGCGTTCAAGCGGCGGGCAGATGCGATCGGGTCATCCAAGAACTTTTGGATCATGAAACCCGTCGCGCTTTCGAGAGGCCGCGGCATCTCCCTCCTCAACGACCTCGGGCAAGTTACGTATGGCCAAGCTGTGATTCTGCAAAAGTACATTGAGAACCCGCTCTTGTTGGACGGATTCAAGGTAATCTAATATATATATATATATATATATATATATATATATATAGCCTGCATAGCGACTTGTTGTCCTGACCATATCTAATTAACGTTATTATGCCTACAGTTTGACCTGCGGCTATACGTACTCGTGACATCGTTCAATCCGTTGGAGGTAATGAATACACACGACTACACCATTTTTCGTTTAAGTTCAGGTTATTTCCGGTATATTTCGTCCGACGCACAACTGATTCACGCCTTGTGCGTTATGTTCGCCGAACATTCGATATATTCCTACTTGAATCAGTTGTGCATCGGACGAAATATACCGGAAATAACCTGAACTTAAACGAAAAATGGTGTAGTAGAGTGCTGCTCTGCAACTTGTAGAGCAACGGTGGATACATCATATCTTGAATGGTTTGCTTGGTTTTTTAGGCGTTCTTCTACAACGAAGGGTTTGTCCGCATCTGCACGCATCGCTACAACACCGACTCGGAAGACATGAACGATCTGTTTATGCATTTAACCAACAGCAGCATCCAAAAGCATGGACACATGGACCAAGTGTCGTACGTATTTTTAGTCTATCATCGTATTCTCCGTGTTATAAATATAATCACCAAGATGATGATACGAATCACTTTCTTCAAGTGGGATCCGTGGTTTTGATAAAAATATTTGCTTGGAAGGCAAAGGATATATTTTTTGACCTCGAAAATAATTTACCTTCTCATGCGTTATATCTATGTATATCATGTAGAGACAACCCCGTAAACAACGCAGAGGCCACCGAAGCTGGCGGGACCAAGGCTAGGTATGATTATCTTCCACGTTTAAGAGGACTTTCGCCATATCCAGGCTGTATACAATTATTTATCTAACCCCATATATATTTATATTAGTTTGGCGTATTTGTGGTCGAGGCTCGCGGCGGCACATGCGCCCGTGGATACAATCAAAGCAGCAATTTTGGACGTGATCATCAAGTCGCTGGTGGCGGGCGAAGACTCGATTCCGTTTCAAGGTATCAAAATATCTATATAAATATGTATGATCAAATCCCACATCTATATATATATACATATTCGTCCATACCTACGCTAGTCAACTCGTTTGACTTGTACGGGTACGACATCCTCTTGGACGAGTCGTTCCGGCCGTGGCTGATTGAAATCAACTCGTCGCCGTCGATGGGCCGTGACAACTCCCTGGATTACGTCATCAAGGACGCGCTGATTTACGATACGATGCGCCTCGTGCGGCCGCTCCACTTCGATCGCGCCGCCCTCCTGTCCGTACTCAACCGCCGGGCACACGACCTCGCGCAGGAGAAGAAGCGACCGAACCAGCTGCCTCCGACGGAGGTGGAGGCGCGCGCACTTCAACAGCTCAACGAGGACCTGACCGAGATCTTGCACGGGGAGAGGCCGAGGCAATATGGAGAGATGCCCCAGCATATGGGCAACTTTCAGCGCATTGCGCCCAGTGCGATGCATCACCAGGTACAACGAACGATATCAAATTGGCACTTGGGAAGGAGGATTGACTAGGTAGGTGGTGTAGGTGATCAAGGTCAAACGAAGTGCATTTCGAGAGACTATATAACCCCGCGACTGCCTCAAAATATCTCACTTAGTTACTAGGAAAACCTACAGTATGCGGACCTGCGATACTGTATACTAATTACGTAGTATTTCGTAGCTCATGGTAGGGTACTAGGTACTTCCAGTACTACTGTACCTAAAAACATCTGATCAAGTCCATCGCGTCGATTTGAAGCTTGTAGCCAGACCTCGTACCACCCGTATCGTACCATAGTAAAAGATGATTAGGGTGTTTTGTCGTAGATTAGTAGATTAGGTACATATTTACAGCAAAACAACTCATTCCTATTGCGCGTTGTGTTGCACTTATTATATATCAGTGGGCGCGACTACTCTATGGCATGTACATGCACGAGCTATCCTCCGCCTAACGGGACTCGTCTTGATCACTAATTTACGAATCCTTCTTGATTGCCGGCGCGGAGGGCTACTGCTGTCTGTCGGATGATGGTAGGAAATATCGTGGTTGTTGCTGTGAACTGGCTTGGATTGGTTGGCGAGGGCGGCTACCCCCACATTGCCAATGTCACTACAGATCCTGGCGTTAGTGACCATGCAACAAGGAATGTGGTTGGTTACCTGTGGTCGTCCTGTGTGTGGTCACAGTAGTCAGCGGCTTCTCCGTGCTCAAACTTGGCCCGCCGCTGGGAGCTCTTCTTGGGCTTGGGCTTCTCACGGAGAAACGCAGGTACTCGTCCAAGAAAGTGTACACTCGAAGCACGCACTTGGTTTCTTGGACGAGTACTCGCGTTTCTTGATAAAGTCGCCCGACCGGCCGTCGTCGTTGGACATGGAGCCACTTAACATCATCGACTTCACTATGGCTTGTGCCTTGCATGCTTTCTTGCAGTCTTCAGGCTGCGAAAACAGCACAATGGCCACGCCGCGACTCGCTCGGGTGTCCTTGTGGCGCAACAGCGTCACCCGTGCAATCTTCCCATACCCAGTGAACAGCTGGACGACGATGTTGTTCGTGTACGCATACGGAAGCATGGACACGCTGTCGATTGGTGCGGTAGGTCGATGGCGCGGACAGATTCTCGTTCATGATCTTGTAGTTCAAATTCCAAGCAGAAATTACTCAATTTGCTTTGAATTCGAGTCGAACCATCATTGTAATTTGCTGCATTTTCGTATTCTTCGAATTCTATTGGCTGCATTGCCCCTTCGAAAAGGCGACAACACTGTATTGGATTGGAAAAAGTCGGACCGACCATCCAACGCAAACCTGATTGGTTTAAATTCGCAAGAATTGCGGACGTTTTCAGCACTTAAGAACTGGTTCACACATTTCGAGTTGGACATTAGGATATTCCCGCATATGGACCAAACGTGAAATGGTGCGCTGAATCAAAGTTACATTGGAACCGAAGTGTGATTCGCAACATTGAAGGTGCAGAGCTCAAAAATGTGCCCACGGCGAGTACTCCAGGAGTAGTTGTATTTGAAAACGAAACATATTGAAAATTTATTATTCACGTCGACGTAGCGGAATGATATTAAACATGGCTACGCATTATAGCCAAGCGAGCAAACGTCGTCACCATATTCACTTGAGACAACCTACGCTGGCGACCTTGTTCCGTGAGACCCCAAGAGGATGAAATCCTCTCAGTGATTGTGGTAAAAGCAGCAATGACGGAGGATGAGATATACGGGCGGCTCAAAGGCCCCCCAGTCGCGCTGCGGTAGATATCATGGAGTCCGTTGACATCAAATTTCCACTCACAATATGTCTTGCCTTGTTTCTTTGTCAAATCTTGTGTGTCATCTTGTGCAGAGGAGGAATGTTGCGGGTTGGAGAACCACACCATCAATAGTGCCAGGCGGTTGCGACATCAACCGAGGGCAACTTGAAGTCCTCTGGCAGGAAGTGCCATCTTCCACTCCAAAAGTGGACCGGGTGGACTGGAGCATTGTCGTCCACAGCAGTGGTGACAACATCACGACTGCTTGTGCCAGCAACCCTTGTGACGGCGTTGTTGAGAAGTCGCTCGAGGAGTGAATGTGTGATGTTGCCCGATGTGATACCCTTCTCGTCAAGAATGACCTCGAGGACAGTTCGGATTTCTCCTGGAAGGTCACGTATAGCGGCCAAGTTTGTCTCAAGTTGGGAATGCAGACTGACGTGCGGAGGGATTCCAGTTGGTTGCATCATCGTGGAGGCAAGGGTAACCTTGGGGGCCAACCGCGTCACCATCAATGGGTCCCCAAAAAAAAGAACACTGGACAGCAAGGGGTGATTCGATGGAAAGCATTCTCGAGGAACGTCTTGTGGTAGATCAATGATGCCAGACAGCTCTTCAAGACTCCTCGTAGTTCTTCATGGCGCCACAGTCGCGGAAATACCAGTTGGCCGGAGGCACTCACGGCATCATCGCTGCCAACAATGAAGTGAGGAGGCAGCACCGCAAAGTCACCACTGCCCAGAGGAAGTCCAGCCCCAACGCGCCCAACGTATTGATCCCCTGCGCCATCGTAATGCACGTACCGCTCAACCACGCTGCCGATTGACCAGCCACACCTGATGCAAACGTTGAAGATTGAAGGCCCCGACGTACTGCCAGCAATAGCGTAAGTAGCTGCTACTTTTCTCAAGGAGTGGGTTCCAATCGTGTTGATTGACAGGCAGAGAAGAACCAACGAGCTGACTGAGGCTACGACCAAAGCGGTCACGCTGCAACGGTCCGGAAAACAAATTCCCCGAATCGTGGGAAGGCTTGCAGGCGAGGTATATTCCCAACGCTAAAATACAGCATGTTTCTGGCTGCAAGGAATTGGCATATATGTACTTGGGGTCGTGACGCTTCGTCCCGCCTTGGTCAGTTTTAGACTTGAAGAATGTGACTTCAATGGAGTCACCCTCGTCGCTATGGTGATCGATGCGAACAGTCTCAGTCGAACGTGAACGACACATTTGGTTCCACGAAAGTACAAGAAACAAGTGAGTGAATGAAACCACCATCAAGCTTGCTGAGGCTTGGTGAAAACGAAGCTGCTGCTTTCCAGACTCTTTATTGTACCGGCCAGTGTCTCTGTTGCGCATAGCCTTCTTATTCCTATGGATATTGTGTTGGAGTCTGACAAAATGGGGTCATACCTTGATAGATGGAGGTCGCATCAGAGACAAATCCACTTGGGAGCGCCACATTTTATCTGTTGTAGTAGTCTTTGATGGCCGATCTGTAGCCTGACAACGTTGACAAGGATACACCATCGTTCTTGTACTTGTGCAGTACAAACTCTGTGAAGTCTTCATAAGTGAAGACGTCAAGGTTGATAGATCCGTCTGGGTTTATTGAACCGGTTCGACCTGCTACACGCAGCCACGCAACAATATGCCGCAGTCCACCGCGGTAGCACTTCTTGGAGCCGTCGGCTAAACGATTATCTCGTAGGTCTTGCACCGTTGTTGCCTGCTGTCGGGTCGAGATGACGTTACGCGATTCATCATCTGCCATGGTCCAGGCAGTTTTTGCCAATCATGTTCAACAGGACACGTGGTCTGACTTTTTCATGCAAAAAAAGTCTCGACGTATTTGACTTGAATGCTGTATTCAGAGAACATCGAACGAAAGAAATAAGTCGGATCCCTCGTCCGACGGTCACTTGATTTTAGTATATTCCATCCGACTTTATCCTGCTAATGCACCTCACGGCGCTGAGCGATCTGCTCCAGCCAGCGGAGGAAGATTAGCAACATGTAGTAAGCATGCATACGTCTCTACTGCCACCTTACATGCCTGTTGACTTGACGTGTCCATCCTGTGTCGTCTGCCAGGGAACGTTGATGACAGACAACACATCCCTTACCAAATGCTCAGATACCACCATAAACGTTCTGTGAATGCACTCAGCGACGACAAGTACAAACCCTGGATCTACGAATACGACAAATCATTCCCCATGATCTGAAAGCAATATGGGCCGACGACGCGAACTCAACCAAAGTAAGCACTCAACTGATAGCAACCACCTATGAATATGACCATTCAAACCTGTAGATTCAATATGCTGTTCAAGCAGGAAGCGATGACCAAAGACGTCTTTCTGGGGAACATCCATTCCAAACTGCGACGACGTCACTATCAAGATGGTGTTTTCCAAAGCCACCGCCTGGATGAAATTGGCCTCGATCTCACAAGCTCAGACTCGTGGCCCTATCGCATGCGCTGTGCGAATGCATCACCGTGGGAGACCACTTACTTGATGGGGTTTGTATGGTCCTAATAGCAAGTTGTGTGTATATGCCCACTCTGGTGCAGCACAAGCGACGTGGGACGCCAAGACGGACACGCTAGTTCCTATCCTCAAGGACGAGTGGTAGATGTATATCGTTAATCTTGGTTAGTATGAATACTAGAAGTAGTCTGCTTCGTACTAGTACATACAGTAGTAAAGGATCGGTATGTTTAACACAAACGACAAGATACGCGGGTCCAGTTGCAGCGCCTGTTCATCTCGTGGCTGGCGTCGCTTGGGATGACGAAGATGCTAGTGCACTCCACTTCGCCGCTACCGCCGTGTACATCGCCAGCATCGTTGAAAGAGCTATGATGTGACGTGATCAAGCTGATCCACAGATGTTGTATATTCGAGTGAGCGTTGAGAACAATAGAGAGTGTGCTAGACAATTTGGCTTGGGGGATGGTACAAGTCGTATAGTGTGAAGGGAAGGAGGGATACATAAGGGCTGTGGAGGTGCAGGGGTTGTAGTCCCTGCTACAGTATTCTGGCGATCTACATACACTATAAGCTAGTTAGTCATGATGTCGTGAATGCTGGTTTTAACCTCGTAAATGGGGTTTGTGTGCTTTCACACGTAGATAAACCACAAGCAAAATCGTTGTGGAGGGGACTGAAGACCGTGGGGGTTATACACGATGTAGGGGTTGCATTGATACAGCTGTAGAGATTTACACGCACTATGAACAAGTGCGCATAGTGGCTGATACCTCTAATTTCAGGTGTGGATTCGCCGCCACTCTGACCCAAATAGCTAGCACATACTAGTACATGCATAACTATCAGTAGTCGTAGCGCCCGTCAACTGGTTATTCACACCAAATCACATTGCACACACGTAAACACGCAAGGGAACATCATAAACCATACGTCGCATTTCCATCTCAATGCGACTACTTGCATGGTTGAGGACTATGGTAGAACTCTTCGCCTTGGTTTACTCTGTAGTGGAGTTGCTCGTCATTGATGCGAGCAACATGGACGGGCAAATTCACCAGTATATCATCTCCTCTCGTTATCACTATGCTAGTTGAGTTGTTAGTTAAGGTACTAGTACTACCAAAGCACAAAAGCACAGCAAACAGCCTCGGAGAGTCTACTCAGCAATTTTTGATTTCCAGGAATAATTAGTTTTGATTGGATACGTGTATGTATTTATAGCCAATCAAAGTCTTCAAATAACTTCATTGTGTAATTTGCTGACAAGGGCCGACTGAAAATGGACTTGTGCTAGCTGGGTGTCCTAGACGCCCAATGCCTTCCGTTGCAGTCGCAAACGAGGCATATCCTTTGTGCACCGTACGATCTAACTACGAGTATTGTGCATTTCACCCGAATTTGGTCATTTCGCTAAATTACATTTGTAGTTAAGCTTGAACAAATCAGACTAACGTTATACAATGATCACACCATATACAGTATGTGGTTTTGCCCAATTTGTGAACAGTAACAATTGAACCATATGATTGGTCTAAAAGGCAACGTTTTCAGCCAATTAGGTTGTCAATGTACTCAAGCAAGATCTTAGAGAACTTCTTCACTCTGGTAGAGTACGCGATCGGTACATGCTTGTGTGGCCGTGTACACTGGTCGACGATTGTGCGAGTTGTTTCTACCACGTACTTATGCGTGTATTACAAGCATGCGAATGTCGTATATGAATAGATTGCACTGTAGGGACATGTACGAAGAGATGCGGCGTCCAACAGGACTGGACAACGCGGCTGAATGTGTTGCTGTCGAAGAACAAGGGCGTACGTGGAGAGTGCAATCAATGATGCAGTTAGGATCGCGCAATTCTGTTAGTCGTTGTGTTGTAATGGTGTGTGACTATGTATCGAGTGGAGCGTGACGGTGTCTGTCTTACATTGATATGGCCTGCAATCTCGTATGTGTACAAGATGATGTGGGCGTCCACCATGTTGCGTTCAACGATTCGTCTTGCGAACTGCAGCATCGAGGCTATTTTTGTGCTCGTCAAAGTATGGCAGCAGCCCGTGGACGGCACCCCCACCGTTACGGAACGTGTCGTTCGAGGCAGCCCTCCACCCACCTTAGGTAAGACCCTCCACACTCGACCATGTCGTCACCTCTTGTCCACGGTAGTCGCACGTCGAGCCACCGCTTCAATTTCTGTCTACGCATTCGAGGAAGTTCTCTCCGAGCAGATCCTGCAGGAACAAGACCAAGCTGCCAAGTCGACAACCGTCGGGCTA